GGGGTAGCGTGGCAGCACGAATTTGGTTTTCCAAGTAGGACCACAAATGCTCTATTGGATTAAGGTCAGGTGAATTTGGGGGCCAAGACATGACTTGAAAGTCACTGGAATGTTCCTCGAACCAATCCATGACGATTCGACCCTTATGACATGGTGCATTATCCTGTTGGTAAACACCATCCCCTGCAGGAAAAACTGTTGCCATAAATGGGTGAACCTGGTCTGCAACTATGTTCAAGTAGCTTACAGACGTCAGGGATTGTTCTATGAGGATTATGGGTCCTAATGTGCCCCATGAAAACATTGTTCCTGGACGAGAAACCGTGAAAACCTGGGCGAGCCCATTGTTATAGATGGAGGGTGGTCATAATGTAATGGCTGTCTGTAGATATATGTGTGTGTGTGTGTATTTATATATACTTATTTTGGGGGGGGGGGGTAACTATTAAACCATTCTAAATATTAAGTAAAATATGTATAATGATTAAAATACCAAGCTGAAGCAATTAACAATGAATAATTTTAATTGTAATCATTTTCTAAACATAATAAATATTTTCCTTATAGAATAAAAATTGGTACTTTAAAAATTGATTGTTTTGAGTTGGTCTTATTTGATTTTGTTGCCAATATTTCTCTTATTGCGGTTAATAAGCTATTCATTTATTTTTATAGAAAGAGAAGAAAGAAAAGCTCTTGAAGAGGAGGAAAATGCTAAAAAGCCAAATCGAAAGGTTTGTTGCTATATTATGCTATTTTAATACTGATCAATTTGTTTATAATTATTATAAATACATTTGCACGCTCCTGTTATCGAGAAAAACTAGTGCTTAAATTAATTAAAAATTGCAAACGTTGATTTTTTTTCCAACATAAATCTTAATTTTATCGAATATTCTTATTAAATTTTAGAAAAGAAAACGGAAAATAGTTCAGGGTGAACCAGATGAAGTTCTGCAACAAATAGTTCAACAGAAGAAAATATCTTTCAAATTAGATTATGATGTTTTAAAATCTCTTAATCCTGAAAATATGTCTGTAGAAAAAAGCGAGCCAGATGTTGAAAAGAAAACTGTAGAAACTCCCCCAGTTCAAAATAGAGCTCGACCTAAAAAACCACCTCCCCGCATTCCTTTTAATATCAAAAAAGGCATGTCTGATATTGTTGGAAATAGTAGGTAAGTACTGAATATCAAAAAGTCTTACCATTGTGAATAAAAGAACTTTTTTCTGTTTTCGAAAGAGATATTTAGATTTTACTTGTTTTCTTTTCAGGTTAAATTGATTATTAATTAATACCTAGTCTCAATGTATCAGTTAGCATTTCTAAATAATTATCACAGAAAAAGTTATTTTGATTATTCATTATATTTATGCTTCACATTAAATTATATCTGGAATTGTAAATTAATGGTTTCGGGTATGCATTGATTCTGTGAGACTTTGAAAATTACTTCCATATTTCTGGGCCTCATTTTACTAAAAGTGGGTCTCTATTTAAAATATGACCTCTCATTCTCTTTATCCATCAATCATTATTCACATTCATGATAGTATTTTTTTGATACACAAAGCAAAGAATTTCAAACCCAGAAGAGTTACATCTGAACTGTAAAGGTTTTTAATTAAGACTGATCGAACACCTACATCAAGGAAAAGCAATAATGTAATTTGGCCACTTAGAATTATTTTAAATGTCTCTTATTGCTATAAATAACTAAAGAAAAAAACTTTCTTTTATTTTAACTTATCAAATCCACCTTCTGTCCAGCAAGCCTGGTTTTAATTTTGCTTACATAAATCTGCTAGCGTGCTTGTGACTTATTTTTCCCGTATTTGATTTATTAATAGCATGTTAATGAAATCATTTGGTGCGGATCATTTTCTTCAAAAAATACTTCATCTGTTTTCTTCCCATTAAAAATTTAATGACAGATGTATTTTGTAAAATAATACTAAAAAACTATTGAAAATATAAGTCAAGAACTCCACAGCTCATCTATCACCAAACATTGCTGGACAGAATGCCATTGTTCTGAACTTTTCTCACCTCATATCATATTCATGAATTTCATGCACTGACCTAGATTTCTGGGAGAGTTTCCACATCATCAAAAACTCGATTGTGCATAATCTTGCTTCTATGCCTCATTTATTAAAACTTTATAAATCATTAATTTTTGTGTAGGCAATTCAGCGTTGTTAACTTTCTATTTATATAAATGTACATCACACCGAAACGGGAATTGTTTTGAATAAAAGATTTTATTATATGTGATTTTCAAGCGTTGCTTTTAAAGAAAATTTATTCACATAGAACTACTCTAGTAATTTTACAATGGTATTCTTAATTATAGCTTTTCGTTCAATATATATAAATTTTTAAAGTGCAATTGAGAAATAGATAATGAGAGATAGTAACGTTGTTTTCAATTTTCATAGGAGGAAAGCGATGGCAGCCTTAATAGAAGAACAAAATAATGAACTTGAGGTAAGAGAAAACTGCTCTTAAATATTTGTAATACGATGAATGGTTAAAATTAAACTTTTTGATTAAAACAATAACTTGACCTACATTAACTTTCTTTAAAGAACATGAATAGTTTTTGTGCATTATAAAAAAGATAATTTCATTTGTCTTTTTTGAAAATTGAGATTTTAATTACTAAAAGAAGTTTTTTATTTTATTATTCAGTTTAGTATTACATTAAATGTAGAGACATACATTTTATATGTCAAATTTAAACTAGTTTGTAATGTTAAGCATATATTGATTCATAGGATTTGAATATGTTTAAAAATTACTTTATGAAGATTACAAATTACTATTTAATTAATTTGTTCTCATCATCTTTTAAGTTCATATTTAAGACTTACTTTTTTCCCGTCACTTTTAATTCTATCCGTTAGGCTTGTGTGTTAAAAGTACGTGTATTTTTCATCAACAGATTATAATTGACAAATATAATTTTAAATGAGAATTCAATAAACATGATGCATGGTATAACAATGCTGAAAAATTTTGTGATATTTTGGAAAAAACTAAGAAAAACGCTTTTTTTCAGGAACTGTCTGAACAGAAATCAAAATTAGATAATTATACTCCTGAACCAGAAAAAACAGAAATAATTGATTTAACTGATGGTGTGTCACTTGCTAATAAGCTACTGGAAAATGGTAACAATGAATTACCAGGTTAGTATATATTTTCCAAGTACTCAACCATTTTAATCATCTTCCTTAAGGAAATTAATAGGAGTCACTTCATGTCAAACAATCGTTCATTCTGACCATCTTAAAATTATTTAAATTTTTAGAGTAATGCACTCTGACATCTCATGTCCACATTTAATGTTGAAAATAACTTTATTTTTCTTAAGCCTTAGCTTTTAAAAATAAATAAATTTTAAACATCAATGTTTTGCATGCTAAAACTACTTTAAAATACCACAACTTCAATGTTTTGAGATATATGAAAAGTTTTTGCAATTCTCAGTCCAAAAAAAGCGTTTAATTTGTCCAGTCAGTCATTTGTGAAATAGGACCAGCAATAAAGACAAGAAAAATAGTGTGATGCTATTAAAAGAAATAGAAAATTTCTGTTTAACAGTTTTTTTAAAAAAATAACCAACCATTACTTTTGGGAGGTATTAGCAGACGTGCCAACTCTCCCGCATTTTGCGGGAGTCTCCCGAATTTTGAGTTATTCTCCCGCCCTCCAGAATTGATTAAAAAAACTCCCGAATTTTACTGCAATCGACGGCCAAACTCACAATTACCTAATTTTTCCGCGATTGCGGAAGTTTTGTTTTTCTTTCAGGGTGAATTCCATCCCCTCTTGTCGAACTACCATCTGCCTGAGGCGTAGCTGCACGTGCTTTATTTTTCCCTCCTCTTCAACGTTACCCCTCTTTAACACTCCTATTTCACCCGACCCCTTACACTGGGATTCGTAGGAATCTTCGTGTGGAGTTGAATGCGATGACGTCACATGACGATATCGAGTGACGTCCGTACAGGAGTGGGGAAACTCGGTTGGCAACAAACTCGTAAACTAGCAACGTGATATCCATTATTCGCTTAGTCTTCGTATATTACAAATTTTTTTTCAAGGATGTCTAAGTCGAAACGGAAGTATGCAACCAATTTCAAAAAATCATGTACCAATGACTTTAGCAAGACTTAATTGCGAAGAGCTAAATCTGCAACTCTTTTTTTATGCATACAGTAGAGAACCATTTATGCGGTATCCAGATAATCCGGGAAAAAGTTTCGCTCGTTTCTCCCGCCATTTTGAACTAAAACGATATGGGAAAAAAAAGTGGAAATTGGACTCATCCTTGAAGTTGAGTAGAGGAAAATGTGACAAAGGGGAGAATTTTTCCCCCCGTTTACCCAGAGAAACGTCATTTCTTCCGTGACCTTGAGGATTTTGGATCTTTATTTTCTCCTTTAGGCCGTCAATCGAACTCAGAGGAGTGGCATGCTGATTTCGTGTTCTGTTTGATTTACGAGGGGGAGGGGAAAATGCATTGCACATGCATATTGGTAAACAGAAGATGAAAGAGAAAAATATATTTATCTATTTGGCATTGATTAATAAAAAATAAAAAAATTTTCCTTTTGAATAAATTCTGATTCTTTGGAAGTGCGGTACCATTCGCAAGTTTTTCTTGGTGTAGAATTGCACCTGCTTTAATTAAAAGTAGTGTTTTTATAAAAAAAAATAAATAAAAGGAAAATTGTTTATTAATTTAAACATACAATTAATTTATGAAGTAGATTGCAGTTTTGTTTTTCTGATTCCACTACGTTTGATTTTTTTTTTTTTCCTTTTCCTGATAAATTTCGCACTCAATAAATTATTTTTATTCCTAAATTTTATCATTAGGTTTTTTTTTTNTACCAAACAATTTAATAGTTTGTTTCAATATTATCAAATACACAATGCGTTTTGATAATATACAATATTATATATATATAAAAGATATTACATTTTTGGTTTTTCTTTTTAAAAGATATAGAAGAGGTTGAAGATGAGGAAGAAGAAGATGACTATGAATCTGATTCTGAAATCTATAATTATAAAGGTAAAAAATTACATTAGTTCTTAAGCAGTTAGGTTATAAATAAACTTTTTATTTCTATTATATCGATTGAAATTAATTCTTATGGAACAGACTTGTCAAGAGTTCTTATTTAGAGTTGGGTACTGATTTGAATCGGTTGTTTTTATCGAAATAGATTTAAGTTATAATGATAAATAATTGTTTCTTAAATTTCAGTTTTGTTTCACAGTTATGCTATGTCGTATACAATTAAAAATTTCTTAATCTAAGAGACTCTTGTGCGTTCATTATTAAGGACTTAAGGTTATTTGTTATATTGTGAATGCATGACTACTATTTAATTTTTATATATAATGAATTTATTTTCATATCTTTTGCTATTTAAAATCAAAATTCTCAAATTATATCTGAAAATATGTTCCCCATAAATAATCATCTACTAAATTTCATTTAATATGAATTAGATATTTTTTTCCTATTAAATAATTGTTATCTATAATGAATTTAATTCAATATATTTTGTCATTTAAAATTGCAAACTTCAAAATATGTGAATTAAAATTTATCCGTATTGATATTTATAATAAATAATTATCAACTAAAGTTCACTTAATAGTAATTACAATTAAATTATATTGCATTCAGCTTGAATTCTATGATTATTAGAATTAGTATGTTAGTTTTCATTGAGTATATTTTATTTATTTATTAATTGTCAAGTCTTTCGTAATAATAATTTTTGTTTTTACCTTTCTAGATGACATTCCACCAGATTTCTATGCAGAAGATGAATATGTGGATGATTATGAAGATTGAAGAAACACTTTCAACAATTGGTGGCAATTTAAATTTTTCCTAATCCACACTATGTTCCTATAAAACTACAATGCTATCTTTAAATACACATGGTGCTTTCCTGTCAGTATGGAATATGCTGGGGAGATTGTATTGAAACATTTCATGCAGTTACACTTTTATTTAATTCATCACTTTGCTTAAAAATTTTGGTTTAATATTCTATTTTAGACTTGTTATATTATCTTAACTTATAAAAAATCTGTTATGTTTTTCTGAAAACTTTTTAATTTTTGTTATTATGGTGATCAATTTTACTAGCGAAAACTTCATAATAATGCGCTGACGAATAAAACTTGTGGGACCTGCGAGAGTGCTTGCTGGCCACTGACTGGAGATAAACCAGGTACTTTGTAAATCTGACGCCGGTTGCTCTGACCATTATGGAAAAGGGTGTATATTTTTGACCAATATGAGTTTTGCATGTTTGAACTCATTCAAACCATAAACCAAACTTTAATACTGCCAAAAACTTTTGCTTTTGGAATTAAAAATGCTTTTTTATATTTGATAAAATGTGTTATTTTTTATTTGCCTTTCCCTGCTTATTGAAAATTAGAGTAAGTGTTTAATAGTTTTTAACTAGTATTTATACAACTGTATTTTATTTCTATTTTAATTACTTTCATATCTATATTTATTGTTCAACATGCTGTTTAAATAATTGTTTATGTTACTTCTTTGTTGACCTATTTACTTGTTGAGTTTTTTTTTATTTCTTATTGCAAGAACTATGATGATGTTTGTTTGTTTTACTTTTCCATGAAGTAATTGTGAGTATTTTGTCATGCATGAAGTATTTTGCTATCATTTATACTTGATTGACAAATGAATCAAATTTTTGCCTAGTTATTGACAAAATGTAGAAGTTTTAGCACTTATAAACTACCAAACAATTTAATAGTTTGTTTCAATATTATCAAATACACAATGCGTTTTGATAATATACAATATTTTCTTCTGTAATTATTTTACCGACAATTGTGGTACTAGGTCCAAACTCCTAGTTTTTTATTTATTTAAAGTTGGTTATAAGCCATGTAGTGATTTTATATTATATTTTTCATACCACTCCGATTATTTCTTTCTGTACTAGGGTACAGCAATCTTCATTGAAAAGCCATCATTTCATGTAATGAGCTTAAAGGCAAATATAGTTCATCTTTTTATGTACTGATTTAAAACCAAACTTTTAATTTTAAAATAAAAGAAAAACATGAGTTTAATAGTGGAAAAAACCTCTCTGTTTAGAGATTTTTTAATCCATATTTGATAGGATTTCCCACTAAAAAAAAAATTGGTTCTAGTTGAACTAGTACTTTCCATGCTCTGTATATCTGAGAATATTGAAACAGCTTAATGTAATTATAAGTTTGTGCAAGCAGTTTTTAGTAATTTGATTGTTTTAAAAAGCAAAATGCAAATATTTCTTACAATTCAGTGTGTTATGTGTTTAAATATTAATTATTTCTATTGAGTATATTCTCCGTTAGTTTTCATGATTACATGATATTCCCATGTTTTCTACAATATTAAATAAGAATAATTTTTAATGACATGTTTCATATTTTTTTTTAAAATTGCAGAAATATTGCTAAAAAATTTGAACTCAAGTGATGTAATTTATTTTTATATTATAATTAAGAATAAACTACATCGTACTTACTACTCGATGCAAAAGATCTGTTAATTCATGATCTTTTGTTTAAAGCTCAACTTATTTTCTTTGATGGTTTATCCCCTAAGGTTACTTATCCCCTTGAAAAGTTATCTGGGTTTGGTATTTAAGATAACATTTTTAATTTCCTGATATAAAATAATAACATGGTTTTGAGAGAGGGGCTTGTATATATGTAATATAGTAAAAAAATAGATCATTTCAATGAAATATCTATCTTGGAATGTATATAATTAATTACTGTGATATTTTGTCTTCATATTTACTTTGATTTTAAGTCACAGGGACTTATTTTCTAATATTTTTAATCATAAGATTTATATTTCACTCAATTATTCACTATTCAAAGTCTATGTTTTATTTCATAAATATCAGGTATGGGCATATATAATTGCAGTGGTTTTTTTTTAATTTTTTTTTTATGCTCAAAATTCTATGTCTATTTTTTTAATGAACTTATAAAAATAACAATATGATATTAAAAAAAAGTTCTTGTGTTACATTCTTGGGAATTAAAAAAATTAAAATAAAAATACTTGACATGAAGACCAAGAGGGAAGAACGGTTTTTGTCGATTTTTCACAAAAATGGCAATTAGATTGTCCTCTATTGCATTTCAAGACTTTCTAAATTTTGACAAATCAATAACATGGAAAAATCAGTTCTGCCCAAGAGTTATTACTCAATGAAGATGGGTCGTTCTGTGGAAGAGCCCTTCCTTTCCGTGTGCAAAGTCCTTTTTCCTCAAAATATACTTTTATGGACACAAGCCATTCTTGCTCCGTGGTCTTCAATTATTTTTATTTCACCATGTGATGCATTTATGTAAATGTGAAATTGAAACTAAATAACCTAGTTGTTGTGGACGATTAATGCAAGAAAAATCTTGATTAAAATCCATTTTTCAATTTAAGTAATTCCTAGAGGGTATCTCGGTTATTTACCATGTTCATATCACCATCACTGTATCGAGTTTTTTTTTTTTTTTTTTTTTTTTGCAAATTGGCTTAACCTCTTAAGAGTATTAAGAGACTGACAAACTGTGAGAAGTAGAAATACAAATTTACAAAAAACAAAAATTTGTGGAAAAAAGTTATATGATTAAATTTAATACAAGCAAACACTTCTAAAACGTAATAAACTTATATCTTGAGGTAATAAAGATTGTAAGTCAGAAAAAAAAATCATTATAAAACAATTATTACTTTGTTATGAATATACTTTCTTCAATATTTAACACTTATATAACTGCACAGCTGTCAACTCTACAGGATTTTGACAATTTTTCCTGGTCTACTGGTTTAATAAAAATTCTCCTGGATTTTTTGCATTTTAAAAAATTCCCTAAAATTGAGTTAGCTTCCTAAAATAACCTTATTGAAAAAGAATTTGCACAGATTATTACTTGCTTGAATATTTAAATAAGTATTACTAACACATAATGAAAAAAGCCTTATTTATAGGAATCAGTCTTAGGCTTTCCTTTTTTATTTTTTTCTTTCTAAAATTTCCAGCTTATTTTTTTCAAAACTCCCTTTTTGAGTTAATTTATTTTGGATTATTATCTTTTTGGATTTATAGTTATTAGTGTAACAAAGTTTTTGTATTTTATGGCTGTGAAAATCCCTATAATTACCAGTGTGTAAAGTATTTAATACATAATGCACCAGTTATCGTAAATTTATATTTCATAAAATCTGATTTTTTTTATCCACTGTTGGTAACTATGTATGTCATTGCTGCATAGATTAGAATGAACCATCAAAACTAATTTTCAGGCTTTACTATACTGTGTGCAATAAGAAGTCAAAAGTGGCTGAATCGGGTTGTCCGAATGAACAATTTATTTTCAAATATAGCAAACCTGTGTTTATTTTTTTATTTTCTGTATTATATACCTATGAATAACTCGAGCAAATCTTCACTTCAAATTTACCCCAATTGAGCTCATTTATTGCATTATTTATTCAAATTACTAAAAACAAAATTAACTATTTAAAAATATCGCTTTCCACAATATACTATAGTAAGCAGTTTTTAACTTTTAGTAGTGAAGGCAAAACACCATCTATAATTCATTAAAGCCTGTCAATTTATTGGTGATAACCGATACCTTTTTATTTAATTCCAAATTATTTTCTTTAAACAAATTATGTATATACATGTATTTATTATTTATTTATTTGTAACTAAAATATGTATTTTGCAATGAATTATTATTTACATATAAGGAAAATGCTCAGATTTATAAGAAAAATGTGATTTAATAATGAAAATAAAATAAAGACAATTCAAAATAAAAGTGTACAATTTATTTTCATTTATGAGTTCTTGAATAGAACATGAAAATATATATATGTATAGTTTTTATTAGACAAATATATATATATTTCAAAGAATGTGATTTATATATAAAGCAAAATAAAACAAGACTAGATAAGTTGGGTTTTAACATTATTTACAAAGCAAAAGGTATTTCAAAATTTTTTTATGCATTTTATAAACTTGTTTGTTCTATAAGCATAATAAAATAGCATTTCAAATTTACATTGATACATGAATGTGTAAAAGTACATTTTTTATGCAAAATAAATTCATCAAATGTACTTCCCAGTTTTTTAAAAATGCAATATTTTATACTGCCACAGCATTTTTTTAATACTAATTATCATGTTTTCTTTAGAGTATAAATCTTTTGTCTTAAATGGTGCTCAACGGTAAAAAGAAATTATATTTTAAATGAAATTTACTCAAACAAAATTTCAGGTTTGAACAAGTTGTAAATAATTTACAATTTTATGTATAAATTTTTTTTTAATGAATTTAACTATTTTTCTTAAATATAAAACTTGTATTAAAATAAGTTAATCTTCTTTTAAATATATCATTAAGTTATGAGATCTTTTGAATTAAAAAAGTTTATTTTTGTTATTAAATTCTCATGAGAATTGTCCAAAAAGTAAAAAAGAAATTGTTCCAATAATTCAAAATTTTGTAGTACAAGAAATAATGTCATTTTTGAAATGATCTACTGTGAATCTTTTTGAAATAGTTTTTCAAATTTTATCATGAAGTTGAAAATTAATTTCTCTTAAATTTAATAGTCTTTTATTTAAAGTCACTAATTAGAGCTTGAAGTCACTTGCTTACATAATAATATGGACATTGTTTCTTACTTGAAAACTTCATTCGCTTCAAAAATGTATAAATTGGAAATAATAGCTATGTTTTGAGTGCTCAAAAGCAGGTGCCCATTTTCAAGCCTTGCCAGGCGTGAATAAGAAGAAAACAAAAGTAATTTGCCACTGAGGTTTTTCATGTTCTGTTTTTATCTTTTTCCCTCTCACGGCGACAACCATGGTAGCTCAGTGGTAAGAAAATCGGATTCTGACCCTTCATATCAATGTCTAAACTGTCTCTCACAAATGAGATCACCTTTTCAGAGGATTGTGATGGCCGGAAGGGTTCGATCCTCAACTCCACTAAGATCCACCGAGTGCATGCGGTATACTTACTCGTAAAATCTGTGGAATCGAAAGACCTGTGGTCGGTCGCTAAGCAGTACCATGGGTTCAGGAATCTGGAGAAAATTGCCTGTCCCTTCATGCTGATGTCTAAACTGAGGAAGTGATCTCACGAATGAGATCCCCTGTGCAGAGGATCAAAATTGTGATGATGTGTCTTTTGGGCATCCCCAGGGATATTTCCCAAACCGTCGCCAATAGTTATAGCTTTAGTGCGACGTAAATAAAGTGCCTGCTAGCTTCTCTCTAGGCTACTGTGTTTTTTTTTCCTAGTTTTGTTTCTCACCTTTATTTTTTCCATTTTTCGTTGGCAATTTAACGTTATTATATAAAATCACTCTTTCTTCTCATTCACGTCAGGAGGGACCTCCCTGGCCGATCGGTATCGCCCGCCAAACGCTCTGTTAAGCGTGGAGGTGGCGGGTTCGAATCCCACCGTAACTCTGAATGTATTCTTTGTGATGTCCTCTATATTGTGCTATCTGTTCTTCTACTTGACAAAGGTTTATAAGCCTTAATTGGGCACGCAAGCCTGCAAATGTATGTTGTATATCAATAAACAGTTCACGTCTGGCAAGTCTTAAAAATGAGCGCTTGAAAGATTTTGACTATGATTTCCAATTTATATATTTTTGAAGCGAATAAAGTTTTTAATCAAGTGATATCTTACCGCTTCAGTTTCTTGGGATTATTTATTTAATAAACATTGTTTCAAGACACTTTAATTGCACTGAGACTCCATAAAGGGAAAACAACGTAAACAGTCTGGCAGTGTTGATAGAGGATGAAATAATTCACACTTAATCTTTATCATTAGTTTTCTGTCTGTTAAAGAAACCTCCCTGTATGACAACTGGAATGTTGGCAAGAAATTCTGGCGATAAAGATTCTAACACGGGTACTACACCTCCTACCCATCTCACTTGATCATCTGGTGATGTTGTGATTTCTGAACTAGATCTTTCTAATACAGGATGACTGGATGGTTTTTGTTGACTCGGCAGTGTTGGAGCTACTTCCAAAACCTGAGAATAAAATATGCTATGAATAGCAGAATGTATTTAAAGTAATGTGATGCATAATTTTAAAACGTTTATTTGAATTGAATGTAATTTTAATTTACCCTGGAGTTTCTAATATCCTCATGTTGAGCGTGCAATTTGATTAAAGTACAAAGATTTTATAATCGTCAAAATTTTATACGATTTTTACGAATCTAATACGATTTAGTAGAGGATAAAATACGTGTATGCTGTGAAAGAAAAAAAAAGGGTATAGTTATTTTAGCTTTAAAACACTTATTTTCAAAGTAACAATTAAATTTTAAAACCATGTTTAACATCTGTAAATCTAGTTGTTTATAAAGTTATAAGTTGTTGTTTTTTTTTAAATTACTAAATAAAAATGATTTTATTTTAAATTGCTATTTTTTATTTGTTTTAAAAATGTAATAAAAATACTATGAAAATATCCCCTCTTCTTAAAATGATTACAAACCTGCTACACTAAGAATTATTTAAAATGTTTTCAAAATAGGGGAAAAAACTTGTTCAAGATAGGTGTTATGCTTGAAAATTGACAATTTAAATTTTTTTTCCTTCTGTATTTAGATATAAATTCTAAGGAGGCCCCTACCTTGCAATCTTGTATTTTAAGTTAAATTTTTAATTTGTGTTTTCAAATATATTGAACTTCATAAACTTTTGAGCATAATGTATTATAAGACAGCCGAATAATGAATCAAAAAAGGTAGAAAATGCTTATTAAGTAGATTAGGAAAAATAGCACTTGATAATTTTTAAAATTTATGAATATTTCCTCAAAACTTTAAAGCAATAAATGATGGAATTTGTGGTTTTGAGAAAGTCACTTAAAACTATGCGCTTCTTAGATTTTAGATTTTTTTTTTTTTAAATCTAACTTTATTAACTGATGAAAACAGATTTGGATGATGCTATAAAATTCTTATAACGTTAATTGCATAAAACAGGGATGTTTATCAAAAATCTAAAAACAAACAACTGTATACTATTTAAATACCTATCAAGTACTATTGATTGTAGAATTGTATTGGCATAATTTTATCACAAAAAATTCATAGAGAATCTAAAATATCGCACACTTTATATCTCAAATTGTGATCGGATGGAAACCTTGTATATTGCATGTATCGAAAAGCAGATTCAAATGAAGTAAACATCCATCATCAGTTTATTTTATAACCGTAGTTGAACAGCCGACCGAATTCTGAGTTTACGACTACAAATGTTCAACTCCGTAGCCTTTTAATTTTTAACCCAATCCGGAAGACAAAGGAACTCCTCGATCAAGTATTGGGCGAAATTCGCCTTCGTATAAGACATTTTGGTGGAAGTAACCCACATTTACGTTACATGGAGAGGAAAATCTCCCACGAATAGCCTGACGGCTAGGGGACTCTAACCCACAATCCATCTACCATTACCGTAGTGAATATTTAAGTCAGCACTGTGATCGGTGGGATCGAACCCGGGTCACCTCATTGAGAGGCTAGCGCTCATCAGCAGGAAAGTAATTTAAGCCCTCATTGGGCCAATATTCATGAATCTTCGCTCAATCAATAAGGGTTTAAAGGGCCGTTTCTTTCCACTATTGGCCCCATTTATGATAGATTTGTTTTACTCATCCGGTATTTTACAACCAATATCAACCCTATATAGAATTGTCAGATTCACCCGATATTTTATACTTCTCATTTAGCCAATATAGGCCCTATATAGACACACTCTAGGACCAATATAAAAAAATCTAGGCATCCCAATATTGGTCCCTAAGTGCATGTTTCTTTAGGACCCATATTGAGTCAATTTTTAACCCAACTGGGGAGAAGGTAAAATTGTTGCTAGGGGTATTTAGAATTTTCTCTCTCTGTCTCCACTCCTTCGACAGTTGAGTTCAGTCGAGAGAGGAAATACTTAATACATACAGATATACATCGATAAACTTTTAAGTGCAAAACACATCTTATACTTTGAGTTTTATGAAATGACTAATGAAGCTAAGTGATATAAAAGCTTTAAGTGTTTCATAATACATACACAATCTTTTCATGAAGAAATCAATTCAAATAAACTTACTTCTGATGATGATCGTTCTCGAAGAGATTCGGCTGATTGGAAACTATCTGAACTACTAACAGTTGAATTTTTGGTAGCTTTTACGTCATCCATCCATCTGACAGTTCTTTGAGGAATATTCGACTTATCTTCATCATACCATTCTTTTTTCTCTTCTGTCGTTGATGGCTCCTTAGGGAGTACATTTTTATCTGTCTCTGGTTTCTTTGGCATGAGAGCTTCTTTCAGCATGTTTACTGTTGCTGGCATCTCCAATGGTGGAATGTTTATCATTCCATCAAATGTCTATAATGTTAATTTTTTTTTCTCAAACAAATAAAAATATCAAAATATTTATAATTATAGAAATAGTGTTCCGCATTTGCTACCCTTAATATACATTCTTAGAATTTTTGTTAAAATTGGAGAGAGAAAAAGGTTTAACTTCAGGGTGGCAAATTAATATTTAAGCGAGAATCAAGAGTGTTATCAAAATTTTATCATTATTGAGGAGGGTTGAATAAAAAACTTCACAATTGCCTGATGAAACTTAGTGGCGTCTCTAATAATTTATCTCTGTTCCCTTTGAAAATCAAACAAGTTTTGATAAGTCGAATCCTACCTTATTAAGTCTCACAGTGGACTGATCGTAAGACATGGTTCCCGTTAGATCCCTGAAGTCAAGCATCACTGGCTGCGATCAGTGAGCTGGGGTGTGACCATTCTGATCAGCTGCGAAGCGACCGGGGGTGTGAGTTTTTGGTCCTCGTTAAACTGTTCTACCCTTAAGTGCTCGATATCGCGAACAGGTGGTCTGGCTATTAAAGCGGGGGAGCCACTCCCTCTGCAGAACGATCAAAATTGTGAGGGCATGTCTTCGTATCATTCCCAGACAAACGCCAATACCCCATTGCGCAGCTTCAGTATGATGTAAATAAAGTACTACTATTACCTACCTTAATAAGTAGTGAATAAAATATGGGATGATATGAAGATTGATCGTTTTTCAAAAATTTATTTTTTATTTATTTATTTTATTTGTAAAAGCGATTTGCTTGTAACCTTCTACCATCCATAAAAATATATATTTTTTTACTCTTAATTATGGTCTGAAAGGCAACGACATAAAATCTTGAGTTATTTGAAAGACTTATTATAAAAAATAGTTGTCATATTTTGTGACCATATGTTTGTTAAAACGTGTCAGAAATGCGTGTGTGCTGTAGCTTTCTAAAATGTGCACTAAGATTGCTGGTTCTCAGCCTAAACGCCGTGCGTTGGGGTTTAAAAACCTGAAGTTTTTAAATTATTTATTGATAGAAAACTGCGTAAATGCATATAGGAAATTATAATTAATTAAACACTTTATTTTTGAATCCCTCCAAATGATGATATCTTCGAAGTATTTTACAACTACAATATTTGAAACTTTCTAATATTGATGATACTCACTCTTGTAGATCAGAAGTGCCAAACTAATTATTTTAATAATTACCTATCATTTGCAGTTAGTATACCACGTAATTAATATCGGTTGGACTAGTAAGATAAAAAAGAGTTTAAGCTTTCAAACTGCGTATTATAAAAATATGAAACATGCTATTATGTCCCTGCCTCTCGGGTTATTAAATAGCTGTTCACTCATATTTATAAAACATTTAATTTTTTGCTTAAATCTGTATTTGAAAGGAAGAACTGCCGAAAGAACATAAACATGCAAGGACTATTTCCCAAAAAAGGTCTCTCTCTTTTTTTATTATTTTTTAGGTGGTTGCTAATTAAAAAAAACTTTATTTTCCATGGTTATTGCATAATTTTAAAATTTTTAAACTTTTATCAATTTTCTTGCCTAACAAATACCACTATCGGGGCATTTTTGTAATTATTTCGCTGTGACACACACATATTATATCCATGTCAAGCTAGTTGCTCAACATGACCTTCCTTGCAATAAACTTTAATTCAAATATTCTTACAAAGTTAAGTGTTAAGGGAACAGTATCAGTTACTCAATGCTGATAAACCCAGACTATTGTGTGTTTCATGATACTCCATTAAATATAGACAATGCGTGATGACGTGAAACAAATTAGTTGTTTGCTTTTTAATGTAGACATTTGCCTTATTCTTTGAAACGAAGAAAAAGGTTTTACCAATATCGAGTTTTGTTTCTTCCTCAATGCGGAAAAGGAAACTGCCACACAGGAGTGTGTCTGTTTTATTTTATGTTGAACAAGAGTGAGCAAGTAGTTACCTTTAGGCTATAAGCTCGATTTCGTCAAAAAGCTTAGCTTCGTTCGTCAGAAAAATCAAAGCATCCCGCTTTTCCTATTACAGATGGAAAGCTATGGTAAAACGGGTGACAAAATAAAAAATGAAATTTAATGTTTTCTCAAGAACATTGCGATGAGCTGGTATGACATTGGCGTACTAAGGGAGCATTCACACTGCATGCGATTGTCCGCGTGCGAATGTTTAAAAACCACATGTAAGAAGAACTGCAAATCTCCCTGACGTATGCGAAAGCACGCTAATTTCTCTTAAGAAATTGATAATGTGTTTACAAAAATGTACCGACTGAGGTGGCAATAAGTAGAAAAATGTCCGACATTTCAAATGATATATAACCAAAAATAAACAGTTTTGAATTTTAAAACAATAGGTGACCTTACTTTTGAGATGACCCTCGTAATTACCTTTGGCTTTAATTTCTCTGGAAGAATGGTCCTGATTTTAACATCGAATTTCGGCTTTACTTCTGACGTTGGCTCATCAGAGCTTTCAGCATTACTCTCACTACTTGCATCTAGATTAGAGTCGAATAAATTCACGTTTTGCACAGGAGGCTCCTTCTGGCGAATTACAACATTCCACTGGTTAGTTACACTGGTAAGTTTTGGTGGTTTTTGTTCTTTATTTTTGTCTAAAGGAGGTTGATCTGGTTGCTTTTCATCATTTTTTACGTGGTGACCGAAAATATCTCTTGAAACTGTGGTAGTTTGTTCGGTTAATTCAGTCTCCACAGTTGTTGTCAGATATATGTCTGCCACATCTCGGATGAGTAAACTTTTAGATTCTTTCGCAACATCTAATTTCGGTACGTTGGATATCAAGGTAGATGTCTCTGAAAATTATTAAAAAAAGAGTTATTGCACTTTTAAACTAGCACACCCAGAATAAAATGAGTTTATCTGCTTCGAATTTTGAGAAAAATGTATGACTGTGCTCCTGCCACCTATATTTCAAAATACCGAGGTATCAAGTGAATAGCGATATGCCATAACTGCTCTATTCCACCTTCAAAATTTATCTTGATATTTGAAGTTTCTTTGTTCTTTGTCATTTTAGTTTCTTTGCCATTTCGAAGTTGGTTGGTATTAGCAGTTTTTATTTTGAACAACAGAATTCTTTTTAATAAAAAGGTCACATTTGCCACATTCTATCCTCATGTTAAGTAAATGAGAGAAATTTAAGGATTAAACAAATTCAAAAAATAAAAAATAAAATATCCGCATCACGCAATCAGTTTTTGAAGCATAATGAAAATAGAAAAAAGGAGAATATAAGTTCAAAATTTAATCACTCTTCTGACGAGCCACATTTGCCAGACTGTATATTTTATCGCCTCCTATATTCGATGGGTCGAATACAACAGGAAAAAAAAGGATCGTTATTCGGAGGTATTATTGTGCCCAATTTTGTTAATCGTTTGCTCTAAATAACACCATATACAAGTTAAGCTATACCAACCATAAAGATCGTATCAAAGTATGAGAAAATCCGACAACTAGATCAAATGTTATTCATTTTTTATTTTTTTAGTAAATTTTAGTGTTTACGACATTTAATATGCAAGTTATTGAGAAAGAGATATAAGGCATTAACGGATTAAGGACATCTGTCTAAATGAGGCTTACGATACTGCCAAATTTTTTTTTAAGACTCAGTGACCAAATTTTAATTTAGAAAATGTATAATATTGATACTATGATGTTTTATTTTATAATCGGCATTGAATAGCCGACCCAAAGCTGACTTTACGACCATCAACTCTGTAGCCTTGTAATTTTGAACTCAATCCGTAAGACAAGGGAATTGTTGGATCAAACATTAAGACAAACTTACCTTCGTGGACGGTTAGCCCGACAAAAAGGGGATTTTAACTCATGATCCGTCTACCACTGTGGATATTTTACGTCAACACTGTGATCAGTGTGATCCGGAAGCAAAATTCGCAACAACCAGTCACAGCTAGGATTCAAACCTGGGTTACCTCATTGGGAGGCGATTCTTCTATCCCCTGGGCCACCGCAGCTCCATACTATGACGTTTGACTTTGTTCGGGTTTATAACTAAGGAAATTGTTTTTACATTGACGGTTGCATACTAACATTACGTTATTTTACCAGGTGGTGACCGAACTAATCTACGATTTGAATAATCAATTAGAATAAAACAAGTAAAGACAGACATATGCCATTTGATGCGCTTCTTTTTGTTTAGAAAAAAAGAAAAAGAAATATTTTCTCACAAAGTTTCAAAATTTCTTACAAAGTTCATCGAATACGGAAAAACAATTTAAAAAAGCATTTTCAAATTGATCATTATTTGCCGCAACTATGTGTGTAATAAAAATATAATTGTCCACGCAAATAAATTTAGTTGGATGGAATGATATTCACCGAAAATATTTATTTGCAGTCTTCCCCGTTCGCAGTACCATCTTTAAACTAACTTGGTAACTAATTTTGAAACTTGTTTCCTTAGGAGAATGTAGCAAACATAAACCGTTTACGGATTAACGGCCACTTTTAAAACACCCAGTTCACTCTTCCTTTATAACTGCATTAATCAAAACACACAACATTTAATCACAGTATGCTTTTATTAAAACCAACATGACTATTTATAGTTACCTGACTTGTTACCATTTAATTGATATTCCATGGATGAAACTTCCAATGAATCAGGCCTAATTTCCTGTTGATCCATTGGGTCTGTTCTTTCTTTACGCAGATTTTCATGCAAAGGAGCAAGTATCCTAGTTTCTGCTATCTCCCTTCTGACAGAAGTGATCATGGTGGTATTTTTTGTGACTTCTTCGGTGGTCTTTATTACTTCTGGTGTCACAGTTTGTACTTGTCTCATCCTCCTTTCTGGGCCAGACAGTTTGGGCGGTGTGCCTTTAAATTCACCACTCTTTTTAACGGACTCCGTACGTTTCACAACAGGGGATTTTTTTGGCTTGTGAACTTGCGCATATACGGGCACTGGAACTTTTTGTGGTGACCCTGTAGAAATATAAAGTTTTTCAATATTTTTGAAACTGAACTTGAGACTAAAATAAGGTTTAGAATATTTTATTATTCAAAGGTTTTGAAATCTTGTTTAAAAATTGATTATTTATATTTCAAGCATTCTATTGGGTTTGTTTAAATGTAAAGTTTGATGGTACACGAGCCGAAATAATCAATACCGAACAAAAATTAAACGGCCATACGTTTTTTAAAAATATCGGATGATGTGACTATAGACTGATAAAATAGAGATTCTGAATCAAAACTAAGGGGAAATAGGTAAGATCACAGGAACCTTTGGGGTTAAGGAGTCCGAGGGGGGAAAAAGGCTATCATCTTGAACTTTTCTTCTTTATATGCATTTTTCTTCTTCGAATAACCTTTTTCTTAACTTATTAGATATTCATGCGATGAATGCCTATCTCAATGTTTCAAAAATTTAACATCAAATATTCTAACTATTGAGTTACGAAATCGTATGTCTCGTAACTTTTCTTCGTCAGATTCGAATTCCACGCAAATATGGTAAGGGCGGGGTAATATTGTGCTATAGCCCCTCCCCTGTTTTGTTCAAATAATAATTTATAGATGTATTCGAACCATATTTCTCAGATTGAGTCTATCCCCATAATAATGAGGAGAAAGGTTAAAAGGTTTAACCCTATAATGTCAATTTCACAATTTGCGTTATAACTCTAGAACTTTTAAACCTATAATAAAACGTATTATTACATTCATTCAAAGCTACACTCATTCAAGTATGTAATTTTACATGACAAAATAGAAAATGTTAGCGAAAACGGTTGAATAGTTCCTGAAAAATCAGATTTTAAAGAAGTTTCATATTTAAAATTCGATTTCTCGTGAACTATTAAACCGATTTCGCTCACATTTTCTATTTTTCCTCTTAAAAAATTACAATCTTTAAAATTATGTAAAAAATTTTATATCTTACAGTTCACATTTTTTTCGACTATTATTCCAGAAAATAATATAAATTTACTGAAATAATTTTATTTGGCATAGAATTATCTTTGGATAAACGAATTTTATAATTGTGTACAAAAACTTTTCGATTCGCTTAAAAAGTTCCCAAGATTTGGCGAAATACGCAAAAAGTAACTTTAACATTAAGGGATCCAAACTTTTGATCACTCACCTGACTGCACATATTTCCCCGATTCCGGGGAAGTCCTAAAAGTACATTTTTAAGTTTTTTTTTAGTCATTTTTTTTCGTATCTTGCATCAGACTTAATTTACAGAACCGTTTAAATAACATCGTTTAAAGTTCGGCATAATAAGGCCGATCTCGACATTTATGACCACACATTTAATTTAATTCGATCTATGTGTTGACAATTTTTGTCACATACCCGTCGTTTCACTTTCAGTTCTCTCTAAAGATGTTTTGATTTCAGGGATGTCAGATAATCGGCGTTTGACAATGAAGAAGGAATCATCGTCGAAGTGATTTTCTGGTTCCAGCATCGTTGTGATGGTCTGATCTTCCATCTCTGGCTTTTTGACTGAGGTACTTTGTGTGGAAGCATCAGACTTTGACTGGTACTGGTGAATAGTCGCCTCGGTTTTCCACCGCTTTGTTCCATTCCTTCTCAGAATAGCTTTAGGGATGGACAAAATTGATCTTGGAAAACCCTGCAATGAATGGAAGATCTTAGTTTAGGAAGATGTTGCATAGTAAGTGGCATTCTGAAAATATATTTTCTTAAAAATCGTTGTTAAGAGGTCGCAATACAGCGGGAGAAACCTTTCATCGCAAATTCTCTCTCACCTCCATACCTAATTTAAAGTATAGAAAAAGTGAGTTTAGAGGTAAGCCTAGAGTAAGCCATGAAGCTTCAAACATTGAAAATAAATTTCCGAAATATCAAAATGCAAGCAAATTATTAGAAGAGAATTTCGCCATTGCGTGATTCTGAATTATCCTCTCATAATTTGTTTTCATTTATTTGATATTTTCAAAATTTCTTTTCAGTATTTGAAATTTCATGAGTTGCGCTAGGTTTGAACTGAAATCACTTTTTCTATACTTTACATTAGTTATGGGGGTAAAAGAGAATTTGAGATGAAAAGTTTCTTCCCTAGTATGGCGTCCTCCTGAGGTAAAAACTGAGGTAAAACAGAGTAATAGTAGAGGAAGAAAAATTATTTAAAATTTTCCTTTTTTGTACATAATTATTACGCACACTTTTTTTAATATCATACAGGGGTTAGACAAAATTATGGAAACGCTTCTATACTAACACATTATTTCATGTTTATGAAGAAATACTTAGAGAAATATTTTAAAACTTTAGAAGTGTTCGAAAGTCATTCGATTTCTCATACATATTGATAAAGTTTAAAATGTTTAGAGGTTTGAGGGACTCAAACCTCTAAAGCAAGTAGTACTATGTTACGGCTTCAGTTTTTTTGGATTATTTATTTAAGAATTAAATAAATAATTGCCAAATAAATACTATGTTTCCGAACCCTTTTCCAGGAGTTAGTAAATAAAGGGACAGTGTACCTCCAAAACAAAATGAAGCACACCGTTAAAATTCATCAATCATGATGTTTCAGATGTAAATTGAGAATTTTAACTTCGTGGTTATATTTTTTGTTAACTTTAAACACTTTCTAACAGTTTCATAACTGCGCTGTAAAGAACGGATACTCAAATTTCGCGAAACTTTCTTCGTTTCTGACGAAATTGTTTGCACCCCGAGTGAACATGTCATCAAAGTGACGAAATAACTATAGTCACTTTTTCGAGAAAACGAATTTCATCAAAAGTAAAGAAATATTTCGTCATTATAGTTTCGACATGCAGTCTTCTTTCTAGTTAGCAATTTCTCACTATGTAGTACGATGCGGTTCCGAGTTGAGGAAATATTATCGTCATATATTTTGAGAGTTTAAGTTTCATCACAAGTCATGGGATTTCTAGACGGAATGACTCTAAAAAATTGGCGAAACACAGCTCGAGGATTGTTAAATCGTCAAAAGTGAGAGTTTTATTTCCGAGAGTGTGTGACAGGATATTAGAACAAAAATTGCATTTACCTTTCGAGTCAAGAGGTATTTTGAAGCATCGGTCTGATCTTCGCTAGAGGACGAAGATACTGATGTCTCAGAGATTTCTCCACTGGAGGTCTCAGCTGTCGATGTACTGGCGGGATAATCTTCATACTGATGCTCAGGAGAGGACAAAGCTGAAGTTCTACCAACGGGAGCCGAGTAGGGCACTGCTCTAGGGATTCGAACCGTGTGTCCAAGAACGGATGATAAGAGGGATGAGGGTGGGTAAAGGTTAGAACTGCTCAGCCTGGTGATTTGTGAGGGTGGTGCGGATGATACTGCGGTGGTGCTTTTGCGGATGATGCGGATGTTCCTCCGTTTCAGGCAGAAGTATGCGATGCCGATGCCCAAGATCAGGAGGGAGAGAAAAAGGAGGAGGCATATGATGATGAGGATTTCGACCTCGGAAAGTCTAGCCGTGCCTACTCGAGTCGGAGTAGTTGTTGGGAGAATGCTTCTGTTGATGAAAAAATATTGATTTTTTGATTCGAGTTAAATTTTATCGATTCTTTAAATTACAATTAATTAGTATGTGGCAAATACTTTCAATAAATGGATAAATAATTTTGTATCACTTCTCGTAAGAAGTTAGTTGTGGTTGACACGCTTCGAGCTCGATTAAGAATTTATGAGAGATATGTAAATGGTCAAAATGCAGCAAAAATCAAAAAGGTCAAAATGCAGTTTCTCCTGATTTGTCACGTTCGATCATTTACAAGTACATCCTCATGAAGAGTACGAAATATATCAATTTATTAGTAACATATTGATTTCATCTTAACAGAAGAATTTAAAATACAATGCATAAGGTTTAGAAAACAATAGATTATTTCAACAAATTAAGTTACTTACGGTCATTATATAACTTTTTCTGATGTCATGCACGCAAAAAGAATTTAAATTGTTTTGAAGTTTGTTATAATAACAGTCTACATGTTTTATAAAGACAGACGACCTTTTGAAAAAGAAAACTTGTCAGACGTAAATTGAGAATTGAGGCGAAAAAAAGTGATTTGAAATAAAAACGTTAAGTTGCATAAACGTAAAGTATTTATAACAGTAATATGTTATAGATAGTGGAAGCGTTTGGTAAATTTAAATTTAAGTCAAATGTTTATGACACCTTTTAAACGTTTAATAATGTATTATAATTCGGATGCTTGTAAAATTACTTAAAACTGATGTTAGAAATTAAACAATAAGAATATAAAAATACAAACGCCATTTTTTTGCCAACTTATAACCCAGGGGTTTCCAACTGGCGGCCCGGGGGACGCATCCGGCCCGCGAAGGCTTTTTTTTGTGGCCCGTGAACAAAATTATATTAGTTGTCATTTTTTGGCGGTTAATTTTCGTAAAAATATATGGTAAAAACTCCACTTTTCTGGTTAATAAAAACCTAATTTCTTCGTTTCTGTGAAATTTATCATATCAACGGTGCAAAAAAATTTATTTCTCTGGTTTTGCATCAAAGAAAATATTTATTCAAATACAAAAATAATCGTGTATGTTGCTCTTTTTTATTTTATTTTTTTGTATTTTGTGAATATAATTTAGTATGTGCGTATCAGAAATTTTCTCGAAGAAATTTTCCGATTTAACTTTTTGACGAAAATATTTACACACACATTTTTAAATTTTTAATTTAAAATGTAAGCATCTATTCTCTGGTAGTTGCAGCAGACAAACCTCAATTTTCTCATTGAATATTTTGTGTGCTACTATGCAAATTTTATTACCAACCTTTCTAAAGTTTTATATCTTAACAATTAGATATCTGTTGCACATTAATTGTTTAATACATAGGTGCACATTAAAGTTATTGTAGCATAGCCGAAATTTTATTTATTAATATTTTTAAAAATATTATTAATAACAATTAAATATTTTTTAAAAATCTACTTCTTATTTTAATTTGAAATTCAATACTTTCGTTTTGTACAACTTGGTAAAAATCTGATCTATTTAATGTTCCTTCAAACATAAAAGAGTCCTTCATGAAATTAAGATAAAGTTGCGGCCCACCATTTGATTTGTGTTTTTAATTGCGGCCCCAGGCCTCATGTAAGTTGGAAACCCCTGTTATAACCTAAAAAAGTAATTTATGAAAACATCATTAACCTCTGTGTCTTCAGATATTAACTCTTACTTATAAATAATGATTCCGGAAAGAAACAAACAGTAGGCTCAGATTATAAATATGGTTTAAAAGTTTGGCAAAGAACCATTCTGGAAAGGGATTTTTAATTTTTTTTAACAATTCCTTTGACTAATTTTTGCATTTCATACGAAATACCATAAATTAGATGATCGATTATTTACATCTACATGGATCTGGTATAAATCTGTACTATTATAAGAGTTTTTCTGCACCAATGTCATTTCTTTTGTCATCATCAAAACAGTTAAATAAAAACTTGGTCTGGATATAGATCTTTGTTCATTTGTACTGAAAATACTATTTTACTTACGTGGGTGGGTCGATGACTTGTATACCACCGGGGGATGGAGTGAGCGGTGGCGGGTATCTACACACAACTGTCTTCGTCTCATCCTCCTCTAATTCTAAAGCAGGGTGGAATCGAATGGTGATATTATTTACAAACATTCTAGGAGATTCCTGAAGGAGAAAAAAAAACATGATACATCTGATAATAATAATTTGCTTAACTCTTTCTGATAGAACTAAAAAGTTTAGCAGCACCATTATAACAAGGATTAAAGAAGCCTTGTTACTCATAAAAGCTGTTATAACTCTTTTGTGAGATCATGGAACAAGAATCCCTTTCAAGGTTGATAAGATTTTGGATACAATGATAAAATATGTGCTGTATAAAACATTGCTTTCGAATTTCCAAAGCTAGAGTTTATTGAAATTTCCTTTTAGCAATATTAATGAGAAATAAACTATTTTGAGAAATTAAATTAATAAAATTATTATTAAATAGGAATCTATGTCTTAACGAGATATTTAATTAAAAAGTATTGAATTAAAAATAACTGGTTTATCCTCTCTATCTTCAACAATCCGAAAAATGATAAGTCTTACGAGGACAGTGCTTAACAGTTAAGAAAAAGACAGTACTGTAATAGGTGAAAAGTAAAAATGAAAAAAAATTGCTAATCAAACTTAGGAAACAAGATTACGACTTTGAAATATGTTTAAAAAATGGTTCTTTATGTTGAATTTATTCAAAACTGTTCAGATGTTTAAGTGTGAAGGTTTATTTGTATAATATTTCAATTTGTTCAATATATTCAATTCATTATTTTTAATACAAATATTGTTTGAATTCACACACATAACTATATAATTTATTAATATAATCTTGAAAATATAAATCTTAATGAATTATGAGATTCTAGGTGATACTAAGTAATTTTATAAAGTTAAATAAGAATAAAGTGTAGATACATATTTATTTTTTACATGTAATAAGTGCATAGTGATTACATTTGGAGTTTTAAGTATCAGATTTATGATTTTTGGAAAATTTAATACACCTGCCCTAAACCCTAAACCAATTTAGGAGCTCCAAAATCTTAACCTAGACCACTTTCATACAGTAAACATAGTAAAGTTAATATAAATATTTATTAAAAAATATTCATTTAATTAAGAATTATTTAAACAAGAATAAACTATTTGACACTGAAAATTGCTTAATTTTATGAATTGTGGTTAAAATAAGATTACAAATTGTTTATTTCAGACTTTTTAATTTATAATATATTATTTATTTTTAAGAAGAGAGAAAAAAATAATTAATAATATATAATAAACTAGAGAAATAAAACGGGTTAACTAAATAACGGATTTTATTTTTTTAGTTGCATGAACAAAAAAAAATTAGATAACGCACAGAAAAAAAGGAGGCGAAATTACTCCAGTGTATGGTAATGCTATTTCTGGAAGAAAAAAAACATAATTCTGGTTAATATAACCAAAATATACGGTATTTAAACCATTAATTTAGTAATTTTTCCGTTCATATGGTAACGGTTTGTCGGAAATTTATAATTCTCACACTTACAGCTCTTAATACCACACACTTATACAGAGCTGAAAAGTAAATTTAAACGAAAAAAGTGTTTTCATGACATGCTCTAAGGTATCATGATAAAATTACCAAATTTCACCACAATTACCAAATTTTATTACAAATTATAAAATTATATTTTTGTTAATTTTACCAAAAATCATTACAAAGCGTTAAGATAAAAATTACCGAGCTTTTTGGTGTTCCCATAGTGTTCATATATTGTAGTACTTTAGAAAATTTTACCATATTCTAAAGTAGTTTTGACCCTACACTTCCTTCGTGCGCTGTATTGGCATAAAATATGGAGTTTCAGATAAGAGACTTATTTCGGCAATTCATTTTGTTTTATAAGTATATCTATATTGTATTCGTCGAAAAGTTGCTTCTGTATTTTTGCATGTTAATTCATTAACAATGTCGACCAGTACAACAAAGACTGAAAAATCATCAAATGAACAAACATATTTGGGTACATACTGATTTTGTAGCATTTTTGCAATGCTTTCAACTTAATTTATTAAAAAAATTTTATTGTATTTTTTAACTATCAATTTGCAATATTTCGGCAGTAAAGAGTGTTTTCCTGCCTAGTTGGATTGCTTTGCAGACTCTATTTATTACACACCGAACAGTTATTGTGGAACAAAAGAATAAAGCATGTAAAACAATTATTATGAAACAGGGAGAAGGGGTAACTATATTAAAATTTTAAGTTAAGGACATTTTCCCCTTAAATTTGTGATTATGACATTTGGTATTTCTTTTAATGAACCATAATTTAAATGAAGTAATTTTAAATTTAAAAAGAAGAATTTATATTTCTTATTGGTAAACTATGTGTTCTTACCTGCCACGTGCCACAACCCTTCAGAGGAATTCTCAATTCATAATAATTTCCTCCAGTACCATGAATCCTGCATGGTGAATTTCGAGATCTGTGAGCATACATGAGTCCCCTAAAAGGTTGCGTGAAATTGACTTTCACAACCATGTCACCACTTTCGCATGAAAGAAAAGCTGAAGAAAATAGAAGGATATAAGTAACATTATTAACCAATCGGTGAAAATATGTTCTTAATATAAAAATGTTAACTTTTATGGTTCCTGCATCAGCAGCATATGAACTTTGCAAACTAACACTTTGTCTTTGTAATGAAACATACATGTAAAGGTACGATAAAGTAAAAGCATGAAATGCGTTTTCATTAAATAATTTTAGCTTCATTAATGAACAGCCATTACAGTTATAGATTAAAGCCAAATGACGCTCAGCTCTATATATTTGTAATTTTGCAAGTAAGTCCATAAAACACAAGTGAACTCCAAAGTAAACTACCAGAAAAAGTAAACACATAAAATCCGTTTTCATAAGATAGTTTTATCATCGTCAATGAACATCCAAGTCAATTATAGATTACAGCCAAATGTAATTTGTAATTCTGCACATAACTCCATAAGACAAGTGAACTCTAAAGTAAAGTATAAGAAATAGTTAAAGCAAAAAATCCGTTTTCATAAGGTAGTTTTAGCATCGGCAATTGAACAGCCTATCTATAAATAGATTCGGAGCCAATAACTTTCAATTCTACATCTTTGTAATTCTATAAAAAGAGTAATTTTATGTTTGATGCGCACCTCTTGATCTAGCTGTAACGATGACACTTTGTGAGTCTTCATTCTCTCCTTGCTTGAGGACACTTCCCTCTCGAGTCTGAGCTGAAACCATGTGCTACGATAAAACAATATTGGTCATATTAATAAATATACTTATTTCAATTTATTAACACTAAATTGCCCAAGGAAGTCATTTTAACTGCTCTTTAATTTCAATTAGAAAAACAATGATGTATATAATGACACAATTTCTTAGAATTTTGTGACTTTTTGTACAACATATAATTTCTTTATTGTTAATATTTATTAATAACTTGTTATGTAACAGTAAATAATGTTAAAAATTAATTTTAAACAAATTTCTTTACACATTAGTTATTTTTTCACATTCCAGTTATTTTGACTGCTTTTGGGCAATATAGGTATATACTAAGTTTCAGTCTTTCTAGTGTTAAAAAATATACTCGGTATAACACAATAATCACAAGTCTTGCAGACACATTTAAAACGAAATAACCAGTTATTTGATTAAAATCGTTCAAACCCTTTGACGCAGATTGACACCGATGTCCCTTTTATGTATATTTTTTCTGAATTATTTTTTTCTATCCGAATTACAAGTAAAAAAAAATTAGCATTGTTTAATTATTAAAATGAAGTCTAATACAAATAAACAAAAACCTGTTAGATTACCGGAATTATATTTGTACTGAAATATAAAATCCAAAAAAAGTAGTTTGAATTTTTTTCCCCCTTTCTCATTAAAAAAAATTTATCACCAATTCATTTTGTAAATTAAGGTAACTTCAATGAGAAATAACTGTTTCTTTTAGATCTAAATAACATCAAATTTTAAAAATGATTGTTTAGAAGTGAGTTGTTTTTGGAAGATTTTACCTTTCATGCTTAAAAAGATACCGGTGTTTCATACTGTATTTTATAACCATAAATTATTAAAATGCTAAATATAATATTTTTCATTTATTTTGACCTAAGTTAATACAAAATAATAAAAAGTATGTTTAATAAAAATTCTGCGTCAGAAGACAAAAAAAAAAAATGCAGTCGGACTTCTATTTAACGAACTTCCATTTTGCGAATTTCTCTATTTTGCGATTTTTTTTCGAGAAACCAAGAACATTTTGGAAATTTCTTCGTAAAGTAACTTCCAAATAGCGAAGGGAATTTTCTATTTAACGAATTTTTCTTTGAGATCCATTTTCACTATTTCCCAAAATATTTCATAACATTTCTAACTTGTTAATGCATTTTATGGGGGAAATGACCTTGAATTAATTTTTTCAGTCACTTACCTTTTAGAGAAAGCAATAAAATCCCTTTCCCTTTTTGTTTGCATTTCAAACGTAAAAAACTAGAGGAACTTTCAAAACTAGAGGATTTTATCAGTAGCTATTAAAATTAAAAACGCATGCGATAATTTAAGTTTAAAATTACTTTTATAATAAATGCAGTTGTAATTTTATACATAAATTTAGCTTTTTTTTAGGTGAAAATATATGTAGCATGATAGTGTAACACTGGATGATGCTTTCCTATATTCTTATTTTCCATGCAGTTTTCTTTTATGGTTAAGAATTTATAAAATAAATAGCAGTTTACAAGGTAAAGGTGTATCAATTGCTATTTTAATGATGTCTAGTGTTTATGAAATTAAAACTTGCTTTGTGTTATTTAAGTGTTTCAAAAGGTGATTTTCTATTTAACAAATTTTCCACATAAGGAACCTATAAGCGGGATTTAACGACTTCGTTAAATAGAGGTCCGACTGTAATTCGAAAATACAACTGTTATGTAAGAAATTTTTGGCATAATATAATAATCAAATTTCTTGTAACTAAACTTTAAACATATGTTTGATTAAAATATTTGATTAAAATCGATTAAATAAATTTGATTAAATAAAAAAAATATTTGATTTTAATCGTTCTTAAAGAAGAAATTTCGGAAATAAGACCTAATATTTAACAAGTAATAATGATCAATATATAAAATCTAATAAATTTTAATTTCAGTCTAGCTATAGAGACGTCCGATATCAAAGATGCATAAGTACGTTACACTAATAATTTAATTCCATGCAAATTAGTTTAGTAATTTATAAATTATGAATATTTATATCAATTTACTACTAAGGTTAAAAAAAACAATTCTAAGCATAATATAATAATCACAAATCTCGTAACGAAACTTTAAACATGTGTACCATATATTTGATTAAAATCGTTCTGAAATAAAAAATTTTAAAATAAGAATTAATATGTTATAATAATCAATACGTTAAAATCTAATAAGTTTTAATACCAATTTGGCTATAGATGCCAATATGGTCCGATATCAAAGATGCAGAAGTACATTGCTCTAATAATTTAATAAGATACGAATTAGTTTATAAAATTATGAATAATTTTATCAATTTACAGCTAAAGGAGCCATTTTTAACATACTGTCATAATACTGTGGATGCATTTCAATTACTTCAGTACATCCATTTTTTGTCAAAACGAATCAAGCACATAAAATGTTTCGTAATTTTTTAAAAATTATTAATAACGTAGTCGGATAGATCAACTACATATATTGAAAAATCATGATTAGAAATATACTCACCACTAAAGCAGTTACTAGTGCCATGAGTTTCAGAAGCATGGTACACCTAAAAATAAGAATTTCAGTAATAAATCTACACAGAATATAAAGTCAACGACTGTAATATAAATAATTTTTATTGTGGATCGTTACTGAATCCTTTGTGGTTTTAGAACAATGGTTTCAGAAATATTCTTAAAAGAGAAACTAAATTCATTTTTATTAGTGGCATACTGGGAAAGCATTATGAAATTTTTGAAATATAAATTTACATAATTAAATAGTACGTGTATTTCAGAACACTGTCGTAAAAGTACAGGTTAAAATTACAAATAAGAAAGATGGCTTGGATAAATTTAAGTGGTATTTTCTAAAAGCATTCTCCATGCTTACAGGTACGGTAATTTTGCATCTTAAATAGTAATCCAGTTTCCACTGGGAGTAAGATTTTTTTTACTGTGTTAATGTTTTTTTTTTCTTTCTTTTTTTTAGTTAAAGTCATTTCATAAAAAAAACTATGAGCTCGCTGAAGCAATTCGAACATGGGTGTTTTATTAACGTAATGTTTCTCATTTTACCAGACTCGATTGCTTAATATCAAATATTTTCAATGTTAGTTGAGTTTATATTAAAAGTGAAATCTTTTAGTGTATTCATTGGTTTTTATTAATTTAATGATAAATTCAGTTTTTTCGTAATTGTCTGAAAGGACATTTAATAATAAAAAAAAGCTATGAATGCAGTGAAACGAATGCTATATGTTTAGTTTCAAAAGGCAGTGTTTTTTATTTTGAGCAATTACCTAACGATTAATTCACGAACGATTACCTAACGATTAACTCATGCATGATTACCTAATATTTACCAGTATATTTAATATTAATTCATTTTACCTTGGAAGTAAGATTTTTTTTATTGTATTCATGTCTTTTTTAAAAATTAATTTAAAAGTAAATTCTAAGGTCCTAAAAAGTCATTTAATCATAGAAACTATGAACGTAATAGAATGATTTCTATTTTTGAAGCAGGACACTATCGCATATGCGGTTAACGTTTTATTCAAATTAGTTAAAAAGTGAAAAAGTAACCGTGCTTGTAATAGCTATGAATTTAGAAAAGAATTTAGTGGCTATTCGTATGTAAGTCCCTACTCAAGTAACTTTGTATAAAAGCCAAAATATTATTCATTACCTTCATGTATTCCGCATGATTCCTCTCTTGGTTTCATTTAATCTGAAATATAAGACAAATAAATTATTAAATTCACAAGAAGATATTACATTATAATTCAATAAACTTTTATAATAAAACAGGAAATTAATTTACCGAACTAGGTGGTATAGAGATAAAATTGAATTGCTGAAAATTTTTTATAGTTCACAAAAATGCTTATGCATGCTCACTTACAAGGGAAACTAGGGAAATGTGACTCGCCAATTTTAAAATAAACTAGTGGGATGTATGCCTTATGAGGAATAATTTTAGGGGGTAACATTCGTTTCGGCCCATAGAAGGTCCTGTGAGAGATAAAAAATAATTCACTATATAGAAAAATCGGTATTTTATTACTTCAATGCAGACTATTAGTTATTGTAATTATCTCATACTCCAATTAATTTTGTGGTACTTACTTTTACGTACTATATAATGCATAGTTATACTCAAAATTGATTTTGAAAATTTTGTATATCTGCAGTTTTTCAGAAAAACCTGTTAGGTTAATTTAAAAAAAAAAAATTTGACATCAAATTTTTTTTAACTTTTTTTTTCAAAAATTTTCCAAATTTATTGGAGTATGTAATTGCAAATCAATCAATTAATTAATAATTAATTAATTAATTTGTTAATTAATTAGCCAATTAATTACAAATTATCTGGAGTATGAGACAATTACAATAACTAATAGTCTGCATTGAAGATATAAAATATCGATTTCTCTATATATTGAATTATTTTTTATCTCTCACAGGACCTTCTATGGGCCGAAACGAATGTTGCCCCCTAAAATTATTCCTCATAAGGCATACATCCCACTAGTTTATTTTAAAATTGGCGAGTCACACTTCCCTAGTTTCCCTTGTTAGTTTTTCGTATTTTTCACTTATTATAGTATTATAAGTCATGAAGTCTAATACTTATCATGATGGAATTTTTTCTAAGAATCGCTTTTAACACTGTATATTTTTAGAATCATTTCCGAGAATGCATCAGAATAGCAGGCTTGTACACTGAGAAAAAAAAGTATGGTCAAAACTACCAGAATATGGTAAAATTTACCTTGTATCTGGCTTTTTGGAAATACCAAAAAACTCGGTGATTTTTACCGAAGAGCTTTGGTAATAATCTTGATTAAATTAGCAACACAAAATGGTTTTATAATATGTTATAAAATTTGATAAATGTGGTAATCTTATCATGATATCTTAAAGCATGATATACAAACAATTTATTCAATTAAATTTAATTTTCAATTTAATATTTTTACTAAATGTGCGGCGATAACTATAATTTTTAAAACTAGAATTTCCGGTAAACCGTTACCATCTGATAGGAAAAATTACGAAATGAATGGTTCAAATATCATGTATTTTGGTTCTCTTAATCAGAATTAATGGAGTTTGTGTTTTCCGGAAATCCAATACTGTAATTTTACCAGAATTTTTTCCTCCGTGCAGGTTTAACTTTTCCTACCTCTTAGATACTATCGCTATTGTATGAATTCTAAATATTATAACGAATCGAAAATAATAGTATTTGTATTTAGATTTCATGCTACACATAAATTGACATAGGTTATTTAAATTCTACCAATAAATGGTTTGCCAGAGTTTAAAATAGTACACCTTTGTTTTCGTTTTTAAATATTCATGGAGAGCTTTAAAGTCATAGTGACTTCATTTTATAGAAAAATAGATTTAGAAATTTATGTTACTGTTAATTATTAAAAAAACCTGTTTACCATATTTTTTTAATTGTATAGAAATAAGAATATAACAGGGGAAGCTAAGAATAGATAGCCATTACAAGCAAAATACTAATAATGAAAAAGTAATAAAAAAAACAAAATAAATAAATAATAAAATATTACTTATACTTAGGCTGTATTGAAAATAGCTGATTTAGGGTCGATAATCAATTAATAATAGAACTGTATATAACCTAGCCAATTTGCAGTTATATGAAGTCATTTTTAAAAAAATATTTATTCTAGATTATCTGCACATTCTAATTACGCGATTTTTTTCGAATTCAAGGGGTCCATGGTACAATAATATTAGTTAGAGTATACATTTTAAAGAAGAGCAATTATTTTTAAATCTGCTTTAGAAATTGTTTTAAAACAGTTGGAGTCATGTTCCAAAGAATCTAAATAACATTTTATATTCTTCTTAGTTTAAACAATGAATTTCCTCTTTGAATGTAACTGGGAGGAAAGTATGACTCAACGATAATATCAGTTTTAACTTTTTTCTCAAAGCATGATTCAGATGGCAAAACTAAAACCGTTAAACAAAACAAGCATTTCTTTATAAATAGTAAAATAAGGCATTTTTAAAATAATAAAATAAATCATTTCGAATATTTATATCCCCCACATTCAGCGACTAAAATTTATGTCGTAGTGCATCACACTTTTACTTTGAGAAAATAATTTTTGTTTTTGTAATAGTAGCTGTCCTGCGTATGATTAAGGACCTGGAATTTTTATCGGATTCATAAATTCAGACGAATTTTTCAAAAGATTCACGTTTATTTGTGGTGGTATACTATAACGTAGGAAATTTTGCGGTTGTAAAACATTGTCAAAGGAGTCTATACGCTGAGAGACGTAAATCAGACATGAAGATTTTCACAATAGCGTGAATAATTCAGGCAAGAATGGTAAACCTATTGTGAAGTAGCAATATTGACCTTGGCGAGGCAGGAAATTGCGGAGATGTTACGAAAAATATATTATAAACAGTAAAATATACCTTTCGGAAATATTTCCCTCCTAAGTAGAAAGACAGATTTATTGATTTGAATTGGAAAGAAAAAAAATTTTTTTTGGAGAAAGAGCGGCAGATTTTCAAACGAATAGGTGCTTTAAAATGTAAAAACAACCTTATAAATTTTATTTTTGACGTACTTTAGAACCAATTTTTTGTATTAGTGTTATGAAATTAAAAGGAGTATTAAATACGATGAATACAAGTTTAAATCAGGGTCATCACTATTTCTATAAAACAATTTATAGCCTAAAAAATATTTTAGTCTCACAGTACTTTGATTTAAAATTGAATATTAGATAACGATTATGAAAATTAATATCTCTAAGAACATTAATGTAGATGAATATTATGAACATCTTTATTTCTAGAATCGTTTTGATATAATCGTTTGCTATTTGTATCTTGTATTAGTCTTACTGATTTAAAAGGGATATCCAAAATACAATTTACACAAAATTGGTCACTACTTCTGTGAAATACTAAATTTATGAGATTAACTGTTAATCGTAACCCAGGAAGTGTTTTAATCACTTCTGCCAAATGTTAGAAAACGATTATGGAAAAGGTTTATTTCTCAAATCGTTTGCAAAAAATATTGTATTTCCTTTTATCCAATTAAATATAATTTAAATAAAAATGCATTTATGAAGGCACGTGTTGGTTAATAAACTATTTTATATAGCAGTAGTTTATAAGTTGTGCAAAAAATTTAAAATATTTTTAACAATGATTTCTTTACTCATTACTAATATCTCTTCTTTTTCATTATCTGTGTTTTGTGACTTGGCTTTGAAAGTACCTGTTACATTCTCTAGGAAACTGCTAGCTTAAATTTTAATGATAAGACAAAGTAATCATGAGTAAGGAGTAAAAATTTATCCCAATTTTACCGAACTGAAATCAGTTATATTTTTATATTTATAAATTAGATTTAGAAATATATTATTATATTTTTAAAAAATGAAACAAACATAATATAAGGAAAAGTTAATACTCCATTTCGTAAGAGCTTAAGACAAAAATATTTTGAAATGTTTTGAAAAGTTGAGTTCAGAAAGTAGTTACTCGTTTCAGATTTTTCTTCTTTTTAAATTACTGATTTCCACAAACAATATTTAGATTTTAATTTTCAAACTATTTATCATTTACTTTGTACTAAAAACTTAGTTTGCCACCTTAATCAACTCACTAAGGGCAAATGAACCTAGAACTTTTTTAGTGAGCAATAAAGAAAAATTGTTAATAAATTAAGTTATTATGAGGCTTTTCTTTACGAATACAAAAAACAAATTTTTGAATAATAAATAATTTTAAATTAATAAAAAGTGTCGTAACAGATGTTTATTTTATACCAAATAAAAAAAAATAACTAAAAATATCAGAATTTATTAAAAATAATGATTAACATTAAAGGAGAGGACTAGCTTACATTCAAAAATCTATATAAATCATTCATGGAGCATTTACGGTGAAATCTTCATCAATGAAATTGTCACTTAAAAATTGAAGAGAAAATAAAAAATATTGCATTATAAATTGAAATACTCTGTACTAAACTATAGAAAAATATATTAATGAATTGTTATTATTTTTTGTGAATATGTATTAACAATAAATTTGTATAAAAAATTTATTTTTAATGATATTTAATTATTATCATTAATTTTTAATTATAATTTATTATTATCATTAAAAATAGTCTTAAGTGAGTCAAAATATTTAAATTAAAATGGGTTTTCTCAAACCACACGGAACTATTCTGAAAACATGAATTCATTTTAAATAGAGTTCTCTTTAAAAGGCAATTATTTAACAGCATTTAAGAATTAATAAATTAATATAGAAGTATTAATACTGAATAATCGTTCCTTCATAACGAATTGTGTGACATTATCCCACAAACTTTAAATATATAGTATGACTTTACTTGTATCAAAAAATTTTAAAAAATATTTCAATATAAGATGTACTTACCAGAAAATAGAAGGTATACGAGTAAGAACTTCTACTGGAATATTTATATTAAAAAACTATCGAAAAACTTTAAATTAAAAGGTTGCTTTTCGATTGGGTTGCACTTACTTTTATTCTGTTAAAAAATGAAACACATTAACTTATCTTAATTCTAAATAAAACAACTTTTGACTTTTTATCAAAGTATCGAAGATATTACATATACTTAATCTACACACATATCTACAAGACTCGATTCTATTTTCTACGCCACCTGAATATAGCGCATGGATAAGTTTCATGGGATTGTTCTTACCGGAATAAACGGAATATTTGATGAACATTGTAGTCCAAAAATGAACTCGACTCTGCTGTAGTTAATTGCGTTGTTGAAATACTTAAATTAAAACAAAGTTATTTTAACGACAAGAAACTATTCTGAAAACAGGCATTTCTTTTCAATAGAGAGTTGAAAGTACGAATTAGTGCAGCAACACAGTTCTTGTCTCAAATAATTAAACAACCTTGGGTTTGATAACAACTATCGTTTGCTATTATCATTTAAAATAAAATGATTTTCGCTCAAAATAATATCATTCGCTATTTAAGTCTCAATTCGAAAGATAATACAAAAAACTTAAAGTCTTTAATACTTTCTTTCCTTATAAGAACGTAATGGAGATTTCCTTTGTAAAGTACAAAGAGCTTCAGCCTAAGTAAATATTTAACAAAACACCCCAACTGACGCAACTAACGTAACGTACCGTTGCATTTCTAAACCAAAAGCGGGTCATAGTGTCAAATATGTCATTGTTTCTGGCCTTCTGCCGTCATTACTAATGAAATGATCACCCGCACGTGATGAAAGAAAACATTGTTATACGGCAAACAGAGTTAAATGTTGGAGCTGAAAGAATACCTGGAAAAAAAAATCCTCGTCATTCTCCCTTTACCGGTAAAATAATGCTGAAGATTTCGTGCAGCGTCACTTCGCCAGAGTTTATCTTCAGAAGAAGAAAAAAATTCCCCAGCAATCAAACATGGGAACCTAGTTCTTGATTGAAGATTTTGTCATCAATGATTTTGTTTTGTTTTATTTGCATAGTCATTTCGATTAATCACGGCATGAAAGTGCTGTTTCATTTGATTGGCGTAAATAATGTTTCTATACATTTTATGCTTACTTGCGATTGTTAAATCAACTATTAAACCTAGTTTAAATGGTTATAGCACAGCAGAGCCCTAAAAATTGGGCTAGGAGCTTGCCATGGTTGGATGATGATGATTATAGTACAAACAGGAAAAATGTAAACGAGGCCTTAGCTTTTGATATGATTGTAGAGTGATTGTAGATATTTCCCGCCTTTAAAATATCAACGAAACACAAATATACCTGCTTTGAAAAATTTAAAGTGTAAATTTATCGTTTCCTGGGGATTTCAGTAATAGTTCATTACACAGCCCTCCAAATAAAAAAGAGATTAGAAACCCATAGCCAACCAATCCTTTGCATTGCAATCTTAAAAAAAGGGATAAACATTTAATGCCGTACGTCATCGCTACTGAGTAAAACTTAAAGTATTTTGGCTAATCTTTGATGCGAATAAATAAAAATAAATTTTTAAGTATTTTAAAAATAAATTAACAATATACGCATATTGTTTTAAATAGATTTTAGTTCAAATGTGGAATTCATGGTAAAATAAACCCTAATTTTGTTTTAAGAAAAATATTTTACTTCTAGATGTTTTAATTCGCTAGTAGCGACCTTAAATTTATAAAAATTCCGATACATTAATTACACTTTATATTTATGCTTTTTTGCTATACTTATTACTCTATATTTATAAGTATTCCCTATACTTATAAGTATTCTTTACACATATGAGTATTATCTATACTTATAAGTATTCTCAACACTTATAAGTATATTCTGTACTTATAAGTATTCTCTACACTTATAAGTTTACTCTGCATTTTTTTCCTTTAAAGGAGTGTATAGCACAGTAAGAGAAATTTACTCATCTTATGAACTAATTAGAAACATTATAAATTAAAGTTACTTTTAATATACTTTTTATAATTATCATTTAAAGTCTCTTTAAAGGAAAACAATAACATAAAATCCGTTTTTAATATTTTTACATAACTTAAAGACGTGCAAATTCGTGGGCAGTATTTTTCAAAAAGAATTTCGTCAGAGCTCATATAAATGAGAAAAGAACATTTTTAATTGAAACATATATATTAGAATTAATCGTTGAAAACATAGAACTAAATACATTTTTTCTAATATTTCCATTTTCATTCAAGAAATATTGCTTTAGTTGAAAGAATAACAATGTTGGTGTAATTAGAGATAATGATATATCGGTACAACAAAACAAATAAATAAATTAAGCGAAAATGCTAAAAATAGAACCATAGAACATAATTTAAACTCATAAATCATCCTTGAAATAATAAAAAAGATCATCACTGGTAAATTGTCTGTAAATTTACTTACCCATTTATACTGCCAAACGTGTATGTACCAGTAACGTTAACCTATATGGAAAATTAGCTATAAAGTAATCAATTTACAAACTGAAACAACGTTACTTTGCAATATCTTCCATAATTCGATCACTTTTTGGTTTGAAGTTGGATTTTTTTTTTATTTCTAACTATTATGGCAACACAACTTTTCTGTTTACTGAATTTTTCATTGCGGTTTCTTGCATTTATTTGTTGTTGTCAGATGGTTTTGAATTTGATGGTAAATATTTTATACGAAATATAAACAGTCTGATGCTAAGCCTGACTTTCCCCCATGGAAGAAAAGAACTGAAAATACTATTTATAATAAAACTTTTCAACTTTTATTTATTTATTTTTCGTTTCGTTCTAAAAGTGTTTCACTTTTATTTATCACCAATGACGAATAAATCGTCCAAAATCGGATCATCAGCAAACTAGGTTGTGAAATGATTAAGCTCATCTGATTATGTCTTCAATTTCGTCTAAAATGACAGAACAAAAGATTGTAACACCAATTCAATTCTAAGGGCATCGGGTCAAGATAATTGTTAAACAATAGCGTCTA